GAAATATTGTGTTGGCTAGGGCAAGGCTATCAATAAGATTTCAAACAGATTGTTTTTAACATACCTAGGATAAGTGAAAGATAAGAAAGTTATGACTCACAAGTCAGGAGTTGCAGGAGTTTCAACATTACTATCATCTTGTCCAACAATTAGCTGAGGGGCAGTATTTTTTTTAAATTAATATCTGTATATACACAAATACATATTTCTACGTACCAGAAAATTTATATAATTTCAGAAAAAGAAGAAGGTACATAAATCATGTATCAAGTAAGACAATGTTGTGTGTTCTCACAATTGCTGAGAGAAGGAAGCATAAATTAACATAGGCAATCACGTAACTATTTTAAAATTTAGTTATGTAAGGAGAGAGAAATAATGCGATGTGAGTTAAAAACTACTGCAAACCTAGCTACTGAAAACTTATCAGAGAGAGCTAAAATGTAAGCTGCGTAAAGATTCTGAGAAATAAAATATGATTGAAATTTCCTTTAGAATTTTTCTCAATACTGATTTTTTTGATACATCTCTAAAATTGGCTGTATATTTCCAAATTGTCATGCAGAAAATAGACTACATGGTAAATTTTTTGCCAGCATAAGTTACTTCAAACCTTAAATCTTAAACACAGCATAAAATTTATAGCTGAGAATCTTATTGATCAAATTATTAAATCCTACCACATGCAACCCCCTAACTTCATTATTATTAATAATATTTTCTCTAGATTCCACTAATTTGCAACTTGACTGAGCTAGACCGCAAAGGTTTTCAGCAAAATTTCTTTCTGAGTTTATCAGTCTTTATGGTTCATCTTGGTACCATCTCTGGTATCTACTTCTGTTTCCCAGAGATTTCTTACTTTTTCTGGATTATTGCAATCACCTCTAATTTTTCTCTTTGATTCCATATTTAATCATTGCAGCCTATCATCCATATAATTATTAAGTTTCTGTTAATGCATGCATTGTATTAGCAGTATCAGAATGAATGTATTATCTGCTATATAGGTAAATATAATGTGATATCTGTTATATAAGTACTACAGTATGTAGTTGTTCATTTTTTCTCGTAGTAAGCTTCATAGGTATGTATCATTATGAAATTCATTTTTCAAAGGAATAAAATAAAAACATAGATAGTATACACTTTCTACAAGATTCCATACTAACAAACTTCAATGTGAAATGTTATTTTTTCAAATTATCTACTCTACTGTTATTTACATTCTAGTATTCTACACTTAATCTTCAGGTGACTCAAGGTCGTTTATCATTTTAATGTACTAATTTATATTGTTAAAATATAGAACATAATTTTCTTAAGAATAAAGAAAAAAGCAATAATTAAAATAATTCCAACAAAGACATTCCAAGCAGAATTTTCATTTTGAGAAATATGAAGTGAGATGTGGCAAGTTAGACTATTAACTTTAAATAATTTAAAGGCACTTTCTCTAGATTATTGTACAAGATAACTTCTCACATTATTAAGTGTTGTAAATTCTTATCCTTTGAAGCTACACTTGAGGCAAGTCTTAAAATATTATATCTATTATCTATTAATTTAGGCATTATAATGAGTAAGCCAAACACAATTGTGTTTATTTACAGCGTCCCCTCTCTATTTCTTTTTACCTTTCTCCTTTTCCCCCTCTTCTCACACAGTTTTGAAACAAAAGTGTTTATTGCCAGAGTTAGGATGATATTAATTAATGACAAATAATCTTTACTGCTAAAAGAATTTTGGTTTTCAAAATTTAGTATAGTGCACAGAACTCTAGAATCGTCTACACAATATTAACTCCAGACACTAACAATTACCAACTTTCTGACATGATCAAATAACGTTATTATCATTATCACTGTCATTATCAATCATTACCAATATGGTTAACATAAGTGACCAGTATGAAGACAGAGTGTTAGATCTAGAACAGAGGGCTGAGATCAAAGATCAATGTATGACAGATACTTTAAAAACAAAACAAAAATAACATAAAAATGGATTCAGGAGAGATTACTCACAACAGGCTAATATATGAATTACAGGAATTAATGAAAGCAGAAGACAATATGTAGGCTATAAAAAACTTTTCTAGAAAAGTAATAGCAGAAAAAATTCCAGATATAGAAAAATAATTTAATATACAGAATAGTGAGGTATATAGTACCCCAAATAGACATGTTCTGAAAAAAAAGCACTTGAAACAAAATAATTAAATACCAGAAATTCAATACAGAAAAGAATCTTAAAGGCTGTTAGAAAATATCAATGAATCACATGAAAAGGAAAACACATTAGAAATACAACAGACTTCTCAGCACAAACCCTAAAAACAAGGAGAGGTTGGAATGAAGTGTTTTAATCTCTAAAGGAAAACAACTTCCAACCAAGACTGATGTATCCTGAAAAGTATCATGCAAAATTGATGTAGAAATAAGATATTTTCATGGTAAAGATAAACTAAAGAAATTGATGACCATCAAACCAACACTCCAAAAAATTCTCAAGGATATTCTAGAATGAGAAAATGAAGCTAATAGTGCCAAAATGTCCAGCACAATGAATATGAAAGCCAGGTTAGCATTTAACTAGAAGGGAAAAAAAGCAAAGCAGCAACAGAAAAATAATACAATGATAGGCATATATCAATACCTGTCAATCATCAATATCAATGTAAATGGACTTAATTCACTAATCAAAAGTTGCAGACTGGCAGAATGGATCAAGAAATAAAATCCAATGATATACTGTATCAAATATATTTAACACAAAAAGAAAATCACAGATTAAAAATTAGAAGTTGGAAAACAGTATATTCTATGGGATTGGATCTCTGAAATGAAGAACAGTAAGTCTATCTTTAGACAGAGTAAACTTCAATATGCAATTTCTCAAAAAGGGCAAAAAAGTACATTATATTGGTTAACATAACCATTGAACAGGAAGCAAATACAATTGTAAGCACATGTGCACTAACCATCAGAATTGAATCAAACTTTTGAACAAATGGACTTAATAGATAGTGATCCACCCAACAACTGCAGAATACACTTTCTTTTCAGCAGCATACAGTAATTTCTCCAAAAGCAAAGTTTTTGTAAATAAGAAAGAGGTGAATGGGGAAAATAGAAAATAAAATAAAAATTAGGAGTACGTAAAATATTTATTAGAGAGCTAATTGCCAGAATATTATTTAGAGCATAATATAGAAGAGACTAAAAAAAAAAAAACTTAAAGAGCAGTATATTCATATAAAAGAATAAAAATTTTAACAGGGCAGATTTAGGTGAGTTTCACAGACATATGACGTTTTGGAATATGTTAAAAAATATTGTAGGAAAGGAAAATGATTTCTCTCTATATTTTTACAATTCTTACTTGAGTTTCATCTGTGATACAAATGAGAGATAAAAATCATAAAGATACAGTTTATGCCTCATGTATAACAAGGAAATAACTTGGAAAAGGGAGAGAATCTCAAAGAAGTGTCTATACATTGAGAATTACGTGTCAACTTTTACTGAAAAAATAGTAAGAAGGATGGGGGGGAAAGCTGGTTGTGAAGAGGTGACCATGAAAAGTTCACAGAGAAGAGTAATGTATTCTGTCCCTATTCAAGTCAGTACCTTCTGCATTGATAAAATTTATTTCATCTTTTTTTTTCCCTTGCACAAAGAGGAAATGCCTTTCCAATGAAGATTCTTTAGAAATATGAATTTCTTTCACAAAACAGTAACTTTCACCCTGAATTTTAGAGTGTCTCCTATGTCTGCAGTATCTCAAAATAATATACTTAAATGATAATTATGCAAAGAGACTTATTTGGGGTGAAATATTCTTGTTCCATTACAATGTAAAGAAAATAAATTAAAAGCACGTTTGAAATGAAAACAATTAGAAATATTTCCAACATCGATAATGCCATTAACCTGTAGGTTTAAAAAAAGAGTGCTACAAAGGAGAAACAAAAGCAAAACAAACAAAACAACTACTAGGTGCAATATACATTAGTAAATAACTCATGAATAAAAAATAAAATTAAAGTCAATCAGAAGAGGAAAAAGTATGAAATTTGAGCTGGACAAGATTTTAATTGCAATTAAATAAGTCAGTTTTTTCCTTTTGTTTACTACCATTCATTTGAGGTATTATCTTTTTCTTTTTCAAAATTTCTAACTTCTAATGTTAGTGAAAAATTATCAATTTTCACTTGGACATTAATTGATACATTATTTTTATGTGCAAATGAAAGAATGTATATCAGAGATCTAATGTATATATTTATATATATATATCAAATATATTACATATTTATATACTAGATCTCTCATATCCATATCACATATCCATATTTATATCTATATGAGATGAACAATGTTGGACTCACGCTATAATACAGCAAAGTTCAGCTCTTTGGCAAACTGGCTACTTAGGACTAAAAGAGGACTAAGTTATCTCTGGTCTCCTCGTGTCCTCCTATTGCTCACTTTCCTTTCCCTCTTGTAGTGCATGCAGGGAGTTTCTCTGAAATTTCTGGAATGTAAGTTCCAGATCTCCCAGGAGCAAATCAATCGCTGTGACTCTCTCCCCCATTTAACTCACCAGTAAGTGAAAATGATTTCTGTCACAGGAAAGAAAACTAGACTTGATATTACATCCAGAGCACAGGTAATCTTTAGGCCCTTCACAGCTCCTAAAAATTGTTTATATTTTTTTTATCATTGAGTTTGTTGGTACATTTTAGAGATACAGTACAGTTACATTCATCATTGGGATCTTGTACCTTTACATGACAGGTCTTGGTCTCATTTTTCCCCTTGTCCCTGACCTCCCTTCACACCTCCGCCCCTCCCCCTTCACAAACACTTCATTTCCATTTTATCTTTCCAAAAGAATTAAAAGAATCACATCACAGAGATACATGCTCACCTATGTTTATAGCGGTACAGTTAGTAATCGTTTATTATTTTTAAAGTTATTTAGCTTCCCCTCACTTCATTCTCTATGAGCAGGATGTAGTCGCTTCGAAGTCCCATTGAGTTATTGACACTCACTTCCCTATGATTTCCCCATGCACATACTAAAGTTAAATGCTTTTTTCTTACTATAGTATTGTCAGCCTAGTTCAGAGGTCTCAATTAACTAAACATGCAGAAGGTGGAGGAAGTTTCTTTTCAACCCAGCACCACTAATTAGTGAAATAACTTTAGCAATAATAATACATTTATAGCTACACAGACAATATTCATAGAATATTAAATGTTTTAAATAAATAATGCTATATAAAAATAACAAAATACTAGGAATTATGATTCAATCCAAAGTGACATTTCAATCATATATATTCTTAGAGACTCAGAGGAGGAAGTAGAAGAAACCTATACATGTTAATCACTGCATTATGGAATTATTCACATATTCACAACTTAAATGAATTTTAATTTTAACTATTTTTGAAAAACGAGATTTATTAAATGTATTTAAATAAAATTAGCTATATTTTTATGTACCATTTTTTTAAAATTTTGAGAGGAAAATATATAATTTTAATACTCTTGTGCAATTATGAAATGTATTTTCATTCATATGATGTTTGTTTGTTTATTTATTTATTTGTTTGGTACCTGGGATTGAACTCGGGTCCTTGTGCTTGCAAGGCAGGCCACCGAATCCCTGTGCTAAATCCCAGGCCCTATGATGAATTTTTTAAGTAAATACTGTTTAAATGTTGGTAAATTTTAAAGTTTTCTATGAAGGACATGTATCAAAAATTAAAAGGAATTTGAAAAATAACATCCCAAAGTAGATTGTACAGTAGATGATTCCAGGATAAAATTAGTGAATTGCTTTGAAGCTTTTATCTATTCATCTGAGTTACTTTGGCTGTATCATTGTCTTTAGGATTTTGATATAAAGAGGCAGATTTGGTACAATGAATCTGATCGATAAGACAGACTTTCAGTTATTTTTCCAGGATTTCTATAAGTTTTAAGTCTGAATTCTATGTGATTTACTTAACTGTCTGAGATATATAACTGCCCTTGGATTTTATGTTAGCTTCCTAATATTTGGGTATATGACATAGTTTTTAATATACAGAAATGCAGGTTTCTCCCCACCACCAACCCCAATTATTTGCTTAGGAGGAAAACTGACGCAATTGAAAAAATATATTAATAGTCCTTTTACGATAACCACATTTATTAGAAATATAACTGTATTTAGCACCAATACAAGATGGTGGACATTTTTACTTGAAAGAAAAAGAAAACAAGTATAGAGATATGAAATATCATGGTCACTAAAGCTATAAGAAAGCATTTCATTTCTCACCATGCTGTAAGTCTGCACACAAAAGAATTCCCATGGACATTGAGAAATTTCTTGGGTAGACAGTTACAGGATCTACCTGGATGAACACAGATGGTATCCTAAAGCAGGATTCAATAATGCTTTCGCTTTATAGTCTTAAAAACACTGTTCCAAAATAAGTGTCTTGCTAGTCAATTGCCAACTTGGCAATCACTTTATAGTTATAATCTACCTTAAATAAAAATGTGTTGACTTCCATTCTCTGGACAACTTGTTCCTGAAAGTTGAGGGACTGGAAGATAATCTTTATTTACTCTTCTGTTTTTCCTATTTTAATTTTCTGTAATAAGAATTTCAATTAAGCAGATGTGGAGTGATTGTAGTTTATAATCAAATAACCAGTTTAGGAATAAAATTTTTTCATATTTATTATTTCTGAAAAATAAGCCATGGGTTTTTTTCACATTTACTATAATTGTGGGTACTATCCAATAATGTGAACTTTTGTAATTCAGAAAGTAGAAAAAATAAAACATTATAATTTTTTATTCCATACTTTTGCTGGTTTACATAATTAAAATCAATATATTTGACTTGAACAATCTGAAAATTATGCCTTAGACAAAAATCTTTCCACACACAAAAAAAGCCAACCTACATAATTTATTGCTGGGAGCACCACGCTGTAAGACATTCCCTCCTCTTTGTCCATTTCCCATAAAACCATCAAAGTGTGATGCTCTAAGGACTTCAGCTGCTCTCCCAGTTCTGGATGCAGACCAGCCCCTTTCACCTCTACCTGCACTTCCCTTATTGCTACCTCTATAAATAACCATGCTGCGGTTCCTAGCGGTCCTTCTATCCCATCAGGAGGAAGGCTCCACCCGGCCCCAGCTTATTGTGTCTCTTTTTCTTTCCTTCGTCCCCCACTGTTTTCCCTCCAAGGACCCTCCAGCTGCACAGGCCATTGCAGTTTCTGTTTCAGAATGTGGCATTATCTATAAAAGATCATGTAAAGACTTTCATATTTTCACCAAGACACACAAATGTCCCTCATTTTACTGAAAATGAATAATAGAAGGAAAGGTGAAGAGTTCAATGTATTCTTTTTACTAATATGATACTCTCAGAGTTATGTAAATAAAATAATATATATTAGAGATTTAAATTATCATATGAATACCATTTCACAAGGAGAAAACTATAATGCATTTTATAATGTCTGTCAGTTTATGATAAAGCTGTTTTGTTTTGTTTTTTTTTCCAGGCAAGTAGCACTGTAGCAAACAATGCCACCATTACACAGTAAAGTAAATTAAGACATATACTACTCAGCAAATAAGAAAAAAAATGAAAAAATGAAAAAATGGAAATAAAGTGTTTGTAAATGGGGAGGGGAGGGTGGGGTGAAGGGAGGGCAGGGCCAAGGGGAAAAATGAGAACCAAGACCTGTCATGTAAAGGTACACAATCCCAATAATGAATGTAATTGTACTGTACACCTAAAATGTACCAGTAAACTCAATAAAAGTAAAAAAAGAAAATATTCTTAACATTACTTTATTTAAATTTCTGGCAGATTATGTCCATGTTCTACTTTCTTGATTGTTGATTCCTTGCTTTGTTGCTTTTTTTTCCAGCCGTTACAGTCTGAACCACTTCATTTGTGGCTGAAATTCCAAGTTCAACATTGCAATGATTTATATCTAGATGTCTCACCGAAGGTTCATCATCTTACACAGAGGGGTTTGGGGAAGTGATTGGATCGTGGGGGCATCGCACTCATCAGCGGATTAACCTACTCTTAAGCTGATGGCTGTATATGGCGCTGAGAGGAGGTGTGTTACGGGTCATGGTCCAGAAAGATATTACTAGTCATCCTCCTGTGCTCACTCTGTGCTGCACAGTTCTAGGAAATAGTTCCAGTTCTGTAAGATGGCAGAAATAACAAGCTGCTCTAGTGAGAAACTATTTCAGTGATATCTATCCTAGAAGGGGAAACTTGTTACACATTACTAGTCATCTTTTATTTATATTTTCCATAGTATCTTGAATAATTACATGTGTGTGTGTTTCTCTGATGTATAAGTTCCCCCATGTTATCTACTGATTGTACTCCTATGGACCCCCTCCCTGAATTTTATTTCATTGTATTTCATGTCAACTGATAACATAAACTGGCTTGATTCCAAGGAAAGCTTACTTGATTGCAATGTGAAAATAAGCTATTTTCCAATCTAATAAATTTTAATCTATAAATTTCATTCTATATTTTATAATAAATGCACCTAGTTGTTATCAGAATATATGTTCTCAAAGTATATTCCTTTGAAAAATTGATGTATGAATTATGTTTCTACATTCCAAGAGCTTATAGTAAAGGCTATCTATCATGTATGTTTTGTTTTTGTTTTTGTTCTGTTTTTTGGTTTTGGGTTTTTATTTTTGGTAACTGGCATTGAACTCAAGATCTTGCACTTGCGAGGCAGGTGGCAGCACCACTGAGCCAAATCCTTGGCTGTTTTTCTGAGAACTTTTATGATCAAGAAAGGAAAAACAGTGGACAGACTATGTACCTTCTCCAGGGAAATGCACTTTGACCTATAAAATATACTTCTACTTTAGTGATGGAAATGCCCAGTGTAAGCAGTCTACCCCCCAATATCTTACTCAACTCTATAAGGGATAGTTAATATCTATTAATAATATAATTTAGCTTTATATGTTTCATAATAAGCAATTGCAGTTTAATCTTCTGCCAAAGATTCAAGACAAACTGCACATTTGCAGAGCACTTCCTGTATTCTTATTCTCAAATTCTATTATCTGAGCTTCCTTGAACTCTGGCCTCTGTCCTTATAGTGTGTTGTGTTCCTGAAAATACAGGCACTAGTAATGCATATTCACGTAAGTAATATATGAAATGGTACCTTGGTTCATGAAATTAATTCACTCTAATATTTTGGAAAACATGGCCATATTTGTGTTTGTGTGGAAAAAATGGCTGCAGTCATGTTTGTCACCTGATGCAGAGTTTTGCCAAATGCTTCTGTTTATGAACCAAATATTTGTAAGCAAACATTTTCATGAATCGCAATATATATATGTGTATATATATATATATATATATATATCAGATATGTGAAATATGTTATACCATAGACTATATTTTAAGTTCTATGTATGATAACAGGTAAGGATATAGTTGCAGAAACAAATAATATATATAGATATAGATATAAAGACATAAATGCATGCCCCATAATCCTGTCTGGAAGAGATGCTATTAAACATCAGACCTCTCACTTTCCATCCTCAGTGACACATTCATCTGCCATTTATACAGTGCTAAGGAAACTAATTTTATGCATTATTAAGCATACAACTGCACTTATTTACATTAACAAAAAGATACAGATTAGGCCAAGTGCTGAAAGCTATTTTTGGTGTTTTCTTTGACACCCTGTGTAATTCATTAAAACTTTGAACATTTGAAAACTTACCCTTGAAATACACTGTAAAAAGAAAATAAAGTCATGTTTATCAGCAATTGCATGCCACAAAACCAACAATATCTTACAGTGAGGATGAAGCATTGGTCATTTGATCTTTTGTGAGCATTTATGTGCAGTATAAATATAACTCCTCTTTACCATCTCTTTAATCATTTTGTTTTCACATCCCAGCAAAACATTGCCCCCAACCTTTGAAGTAATGTAGATTGT